TTTTCCAAGAAAAAGAAAATTAGACTAGAAGGAATAAAACCTGTAGGGGTGTCTGAGCAGGTGTGGCACAACTTGATACAGATTTTTTTTTTTATATACGACATTTTAAAGTAATAACCTTTAAAATGAAAAGAATGTACTGCCTGATCAGGAAAGTCACTACAATCTAGATCAAGGGATTATGCTTTGGTTTGTCAATCTGAAGAAAACAGATTTTTTCTAATCTACTCTATCATTGAAGCGTATTTATGCCACCTACAATCTTATTACTTTCCTGTAATTTAGGGATACTTTAACTCACAGAGATTTATCTTAAACATTACTTTTTTTCAGATCTATAAAACAAAAAAAACCCAGTCAGCCTGTTGTCCAAAAGCAGCAAATTTGAACAATTAAATTTACAATACAGGCAAAGAGGCACTACACGTTACACTTCAGAAAGATTCATGCTTTAGATACTTTAGATATTCTATCAACAATGAGCAAAGGAAAAACATGAGCCCCCCCCTTTTTTTTTTTTTAAAGGATTTTGATGAGGATATGTAGTTTGGAAGGAAGTAGTTTTCAGCCTCAAGGCAGTGCAAGAATAATTGCAATTCCGATTTTAAAATAAAAATGTGTTATTTCCACAACTACAAGCTCCTGACATTAATGATTAGTTTACCTACAGACTTCTCTGCGTTATTTGGCACCAGTGGAAGCTGACAAACACCAGAAACTTTAACAAAGTGGAAATACTATTTCAGGTATTCAAAAGACTGCAAAATACCTTTGAAAGTCTGTCTGCTGTCACAGACAGATTTGAAATTCTTAGCTTTCACAAAGTCACAAGTTCTTAATTTGACTAAATGTAACAGGACAGGTTTAGAGTACACTTGCTGTGTTCAGTCGTTACTATTCATATTTATTTCTGAAACTAAGTAGTTTGTGGCTGTAAATAGGACATTTTCTAAATGGGCTGAAGAGCAATGCATATTTCACAGAGCTTCGGGAAACTAAAAAAAACCCAACCCTCTCATCAATGGTTCAATTCAATGTGTGGTTTGTTGGTTTGTTTGTTTGTTTTCAAAAATCTTACTTATTTTCCATTTGCATAAATTCCACCCTTGGAATGCCACAGTAGCTGATTATTCATTATTTATACTTTGGAAATTAAACTCAAGGGGAATTATCTAATGCATGTCAGACTGAAAATGAGCTGTGACTCTCTAAAGTTAGTTTTAGCCTCATGTGTGCTAAGAAAGATTCAAGTTCTTAACTGACTTTTAACATTAAGAACTACTTATTCAGCAAAGTCCCTACATTACTTTAAATGTAAACCTCTTTAAGCTAATATAAAAAATTGAACCTCTAATCTTTAAAAATTTTATAAAAGCAGCTTCTCAGTTTTTCTCCAATTCATTTAACCTTGGTAACTTGACAAGTGAGTCTAAGTAAACAGTCATTTTTCACATTTCAGCTGCTTCCAGCATTACGTAAACCTCAACGTGAACAGGAGGAAAAAACAAGGCAAGATTCTATTCAGTCTGATGAACAGCTGCGCAAGTCGTTGGTCTGGGTTTTTTTTAATATATATACACAGACACGCATAAGAGTTTTCAAGAAGTTGCTTATGCTCAGTATGCCACAGAGCAGCCAAAAGTCATCATGTCGGCATCGGTAACCATTTGGTGAAAGCATATTGCCTGTGTTAGGCATATCAGATTAAAACATGATCATTGCTAGCCTATGACTCTAGAATCTTTTCAAGTTCATTAAAGTTTCATTAAAAGATTCGCATCCAGTTCTTACTGTTTTTAAAGCAACTTGGATAATTTCTGGAATCACTCAATTCACCACTTCCAAGGGAAGGAGCTTACATCAGATTTTACGCAGTTTGCCTTTAATGATGAAGGCAGGCAAGAAGCATGCAGCAACGGATCTCCCAACTCTACCAACAACAGTACTTCACCAATTCTCTCACAGATGAGAGATAAGAGTTGTGCCTTGAAGTATATTGTCGTAGAGACACTTTAGGGCTCAACAGACGATTTTTAGATTTCAGTGGAGGAGCATAAGAGAGAAACTTATTTTCAACATCAATTCAACTTAGAAAAAGAATTTTCACTGCATCTATTTTAAAAGTCTTTATAACATGATTGTCTGCAAAACACTTGTCAATCTTGGTTTAGATCAAAGCGGAATTAAATCCAGTTTTTTGTCTTAATATAGCTGCACTCACCCTTCACAGAGAGAACAAAGTTCTCTCAAAACACACTAGAGCAGCATGAATGGAATGCTGATTGTACTTCGTTCTCCCTCAAGTACCTCTTTGAAACCCAGGAAAGGAAAAGTGGGCAAATAGGAAGTTTGTAGTGTAAATGACCCATTCTGCAAGTGCCATTCACTTGGTTGCTTGTAGAAAAGAAGAATTTTACGCTGATTTCTCCATCTGAAAGCTAAATATTAGTTTGACTTAATGAGTTACAATTTGTAATTGGAACACGATTCATCCAGGAAATCTTTACAGTCCACATGGGCTTCGCTAACACTGGTGATCTTCATTACCACTCTATAGAATGAATTACCTCTTCAGTTCTGTGAAACTCTCAGGGAAGCGAGGATGATTTTCCAGATAAAATTTTTAGAAGTACTCAGCACCTTAAGACAAAGATGAGATCCCACACAACAAGACCCAGGCTAGAAACAGCTATTTTTGTTAAACAACTCGGCATAAAGAACACTGCTGCCACATTGACCAAAGGTTTCTTCGAGAGACTTTTTACTGACAGCTGAGCATCTTTGGTCTGTGGGTTTAAACCTCTATTTGAGGATACATTCTCTCAAAGGGTGCAAATAAAAGACAGGAACAGAGAAAACTCAAAACACGTTTTGTTAAAGTCACTTGTCGTGTGCTTTAAATTCAAGCTTGGTATATACCAGGACGTATTCCTCATTTCAGCAGAGCTGCTGGCACTGTTAAAATAACATTATAGCACTTTTTTTTGAGAATATGCAACATAGTACTTCCACTTCAGCAAGCACAAAATTTGACACGAATATTCCTTCCAGAAATACTTCATCAACTTACGCAATCACTATTCAACCAAGTGAAAACCGTAACAAAAAGCATCAAACTAGCCTACGCTATTTATATGCTTTAAAGAATTTGGCTCATGGAGGCAGTCCTCTACATACTTCAGAAAACGCATGAACAGTTTTGATAGATCACCACCAGCGCTTTTGCAAGTTTTAAAAACCAGTAACAGAAGGAACGCAGCAGGAAAAGGATGTTCATCCAGTGATCGCATTCTGAACAAGTTCCAAGTGATAACTCCCTGCCCTGACAGACAAAAGAAATCACATGTATTATCACTAACCTAAACTTCTGGGCCCAAAAAGCACCCTGTTCAGCAGACTCTTTCTTTTTATAAACATTCTTCTCCTCTTAGTTCACTGTTTTAATTTTTCAACTATTGTTTCATCCTAGCTGCGTACGTAGTATAGTCTCTTTCTTTCCAAAGGAGAAAAGCTTTCATGTAAGAAAAGACTTACTATTTGTTAAAGATTATTCCTCAAATGTTATGCCCAAGATACAGAGCAGTTTGAGAGCTCAACGTTTATATTAATAGCCAGAAGTGTTTCTAATTACACCAAATAAAGCACTGTGAAAAATCCTGATGTCAGCATTTTGACTCAAAATATCCTTGAGGAAATAACTTAAAAGAATTTTTGCCTTCAACTCAACAGCAAGGTAAAGACTGATCAGTTCAGCAAGCTGCCAGAGAATTTTGTTGAGGAAACTCATTTTGGTTGACTGATGGAAGAACAAGAACCAGCAGACTTCACTGAAGGTTGAAGTTACACACACAATCAAATTTAAATTAGAAGCCAACTGCAGCCTAGCTGTCAAGAGTGTAGTAAGGTCCTAAAAGACCTTAAACATATCACAGTCAAATTCTTCACCACCCATGAAAATAACCACTCGCTGCCTTGAAGTGTTTGCAAGAGCAAGACCTGCATGTGTAATACTGGAGGCAGCTTTAGAAGTAAGATAAAAAGAAACTGAAGTATTCCCTGTAGAGTGCTCTAATCCTTTTTTGCCCTGTGACTGCGAAGGATGACTTCTCTAAGGAACTCTGCACTCCAAACCATGTGATCTATCTAAATATTTACACTATGAACACTATTAAGACTCTCCCCTGAAGCTATTAAACATAGTATTTTCAGCAAGTGAAACAAAACAATTACTATTTAGATTATTATTTAGTTATAACTGTTTTTATCAGGTAGAAGCTGACCTGACTGCTCTCCTCAACTGCTCTTTGTAACTCACGAGAGCCACGCAGCTGTGGTTTTGGCTGAATATACTTAAAAACGTCAAATACCTACTTCTTTTCTGTTTTCTAAAAGAAAAAAGGGAGGGAGAGGGGGAGAGCAAGAAAGAACAGGCAACCTAATTAGGATTTTTTTTTTTTGGTTAGTATTTGTAACATTAGCACGCAAATTAGCAACCACACACCCAAGAGGCTCTTTGTTCATCTCTCTGGCCTCCCCAGCAATCTCCTCAGCCACCAAAGTATTACCAGTGCTCAGAACGCTTTCTCCTCTTTCATTCAGGCTTATCCTTGCTTTCCTGGCTTTCTCTCTGCTCTCTAGTCCTGTAAACTCAATACTGATGAAGACACAACCATAACAATCTTAATCAACATATTTGACACTTTCCCCCATGCTAGAATAGATTGCCCCCAGGAATCAACTGGGAAGTACACTTTGAGACTACTTTTGCTATAACTTTGAAATGAATCTATGAACTGTATTTAAACTTTGGAAGAAAAAGAGAACACATTATGTAAAAAAATACTCTGGGTAGAGAAGAAACCATCAAAACACATAGCTCATATTTTGTATATCGTTTCAGATTTGTATGTTCTACCACACTTATCAAACGGAGCCCAGTAAGCACTTTGCAATACAAGGAACTGTCAAGGAAGAAAATTACAGCAAAAATTAATACTTACAGCCATAATTAACTCAAAAGGGTGTTTATACACCCGTACAGGGGATTGATACTTCTGCACCATAGCTGCAGTTAGTAAGATCAACTCACAACCTGAAAAAGAAATTTTTAAAACCATCTGTCAGATGTAGGAAGCCATTTTCAATCTTCTCTTACAATTATTCTGTGCGTGATACCATGCTAGCAATTCTACAGGAAATCCTTCACAATTCCTTGACAAATCTTTTTTTTTTTTTGAAGACACAATGGGGCCCTGAAAAGCTATGTATATTTTTGTCAGAAATGACTTGTCATTTCTTCCAAACACGACACAGAATTAGCACATTTTCAGTCCAGTTTTAGTAACAAATCTTCAACACACTTTATGACTCTTCATCAGGATGGTGAGACTTCCTGTGCTGCTGCCGAGAACCAAACATTGACACATACCAGCTAAAGGCGTAAAAAGCATTGCCCAGTCCCCCAGCACGGTAAGTGGGCTGCCTTGCTTAGAGGTCACTCTGAATAGGGACTGGTTTAAAAAAAAAAAAAAACCCACAAAAAAAAACACAAAAAAGGAGGTTAAAAAATATACCAAGTGTTGAAAACCCTTAAACCCTTGTTTTCAGAAAGAAAGGGGAAAAAAGGGATCACTACAGCACACTGATATGAGACATTCCTTCATAATTTCCAAATCAAATTAATTCTCCTGAAAAAGAAACTTAAGAGATAGCTGGGGAGAAAAACTTAAGTGAAGCTACAAACATTTCAATACACGTCCAGAAAAAATTCACTAGCAAAACGGACAGGACTTATTCCAACGGCTTTGTGTCTGCTTTCCCCAGCAAAGTGTCTGACCCAAACTCTCTTGAATGCAATTACGTTTATTGAAAAATACTGGCAGTACCACTTGCAGATGAAAGCCCAGGCTGCGAGCCAGGCTCATTTTAGCGAGAAGTGGGTTTATTACAGGAAGTTAGTTCTACTTTTATATTTTTAATGCGCTCTCACGTTATCTACAGCGCTTCTGGAAAGCGTTACCAACTCCAGCCACGGAGCACGGCAGATGGGCACGGCAGCTTCTCGGACACCAAAAGCAGCCACTAAGAGTCCCAAGAAAGTTCACCCGACATCCTACTCAGGGAGAGGAATTTACCCATGACTACCCTGCATTTTTTTTTAAGAAAAAACAAACCAAAAAAACCCAAACACCTGAATCAGCAAAAAACCCCGCAAACCCTCGCTAATCCCCGGACAACAAGAGTTACACAACAAAGAAACTCAACGTTTCTTTCCACGGCTCGCCTGGACCCACCGCGCTGCCCCCGCCTCGCCGTGTCCCCT